ACGAACTGACATACTGATGACATGGCTTCTTGAAGAAATTCGATTATCATACCTTCTACGTCTAACGCAACTTCGAGCAAATAAAGTTCTAATTTAAGTTCTTCTGGTAGCACCGAGAATATGACCAAACTAGATCCATTCTACCCACTGAGAATTTTTAAACCGGCTCTTTGCGATAGGCTGTAAGTATCTGAAAAAGCATTAAAATATGAAGTATTTTCACTAAAAGCCGCCAATAGCATGTAAATAATATTAACCTGGGAAGCTGAAAAGTTCCTCGGGCCGCCTCCTCCCACTTCGCCGGAGAGAAAACCGTCAGTGGAAGCGGATACAGGTGGAAAAAGGCAAGATGAATCGGTCATTTGTGCCCCCAAGCCTCCAACGGAGTCAAGATAGTCGAACGTGGAGAGCTGCAAAAGGAATCGATGCGTATTTGAGAGTTTCGGATCAGGACAAGTGAATAACTATAAAAATAATCTTGTGAAAATGAGTGTTCATCTTTTTTAGTTAGTTTTCATGAAAATATTCTAAAATTAAGCCCGGTCCAAGTGATGGGATAATTTACAGTGGGATATTTCAAAACGTAACAAACTTACCGAAATTTTTGTTGGAAGGTATAGATGTGTAGATAGGAAGAGGAACTTGGTTTTGATTACGTGAGACTTTTACAGGGATGAAACCCAGCTCTGATGATGTCCATCATGTGATGGACGAAAACTCAGCCTATTTTCACCCGAAACAAGGGAGGAAATCTCGTGTACTGCGTCAACATGTACATCGTATAAAAGCCAAAAGTCTCATCTGGTGAGATCGACCAACGAATCTCTTCTTCATGCACTTTCATATAAAATGAAAGCCCCCCCCACCCCAACAAGATATAGATTTGAACAGATACTTATGATCAAATCCGTAGAGGATAGCTCATCATGTAGTGATCTGAAGCATAGCCAGGGTCACTGTTTTATTTTGCAAAGAACTGACCTTGAGGAAATGCCCATAATTCGCGATGCAATTAGAAACTCATATGTAATCCACTGCTGTCCAATGTCTCTGATTGACGAATTAATTATGGGTCAAACTATGCAACAATTTATCTTTCCTCATAACTGATGTATGTCGACAAGATTATTTGAACAGAAGCCGCGTAAAGGCAAGAAAGGGAAGCAATGGTAAAATTCGGGGACGAATGTTCGCGAAGTAAATCGAAAGGAAGATGCTAGGCATTATGTCAAATTAATCACAGTGGCTGTATAAATAAATATTTGGTTGTTTGAATGTATTTTTTTAGTCCAAAGCCTCGTGGCGGAAAAATGCGGATCCCAGAAAGCAAAATGTTTGTATGAATGAACAATTTCCGCAAATAAAAGCAAATGGATAGGCGTATAAAAGGATATAAAAAATTATAAAAGCTCAACTACTGACTAGATATTCCAGGAGATGAAGATTATATAAGTGAAAAAATGATACCAAGCAAAAACACAGATCCTTCTGGATTGAGAGTAGAAGTTAAATCAGGGATTAGATGAGTGGAGGACGAGATGAATGCAAAAAAAGGAAATAAAAAATAAATAAATAAAATAAGCAAGAAATAAGGGGGATGGAGTGAAACTTGTACAGCTTATTCGAGGAAAGTCTCAAAAATATGCGTTTATTGTGGGCTTCAATTCTATCTATGAGGACCACTTCAAGTCTGCTGCTGCAACCAATTAGAGAGTAGTCGATACCGTTACTTTGTGTGTATGTGCTTGTGTAAGTAGGCGGGTAGGAATGTATGCGTTTAGGTGGATGGGTGTGCAGGAGCGATGAAGTGAGGGGCTTTATATGAGATCATATAAAATGTTGTGAATTGAGGTGTGTGGCAGAATGGCTAAATGTCCAGTTAGATGGCTGAGTTAGTGGGAGCAAGGAGAAAC